CTCTTGATGAGTGTAACATCGGGATGAGCTTATATCTTCAAAAATATCATTTGTAATTATTGACATTTATAAAGATATAAGCTCATCCTGATGTTACACTCATCAAGAGCTTTTATTTGAGTACTCACATGCATTTTTGATATATTTTTCATATATACATATATATAAATATATAAAATATATGAAAAATTGATGTGGGTACTCAAATGAAAGGTCTCGATAAGTGTAACATTGGGACGAGCTTATATCTTTAAAAATGTCAATAGTTCTCAAGATACAAGGTCATTTCTTAATTATGTATCTAGCGATAGAGAATTTTCGAATGCAGCCTAAATACTTATCGTAATTAATTGACTATCGGTGAGAATGATATGAAACCTTGAAAAGGCACAAATTTAAGTCAAGACCTTTGCTATGACACTAAATTTCACATTTAAAAATTAAAAAAAAATTACTATTGTAATCGATTTGTTCTAAAAATTTTTAATAACAGCTGGCAGGTAACTTCAGTATTATTAATTTAATTAGTATTAAAAAGATTTCACATTTAAAAATTAAAAAAAAATTATTAATGGAAATTTTTAGACGAATTTTTGTTATTGCAATTAATCTGCTGAAAAATTAAAAATTAATTAAGCAAATACTTCAGTATTGATTGGTAAACTCGAGTTCTCGTATTGTCTCGAGATAATGTGCATTCCAGAGCTGTTATTGAATTCAAACAATAAAGTACACTTGGAAGTACTAGCTAGTGTGAAAAATATACTTTTATATAAATAATATAATATATGCTTGTATGAGTAGTAAAAGATAAGAGAAAATATAGTGTGCGCTGAATATGAATTGTCAAGCAAAGACCGATTACGCACTACAGAGAATTAAAAAAGGAGTGAGTGGGGTCACGCGGAATGTGCTGGCGATGCAAAGACCAGTAGAGAGTACTTGCTACGTGAGAGTAAATAAAATGTAATGAAAATCAAGCTAAAAGAGTTTGGTAAAAGGAGAGAGGAGATAAGTGTCCTGCGTTTCCTTTGTCATACGGGCGGAGGTAGGGGAAAACGGTAAAAACCCGAATCCTGAATAGAACCGCTCGATCGATCGTCACTACTGTTTTTTCACCGGGTTCTTGTTGGTTTTGCTGTCCGGCTTCGGAAGTTATCTTAGTGGACCTTCTGCGGCTCCCCGGCCGGCCATTCACTAAATATCTTAACGACAAAGACGGTCGTCTTCTTTTTTTAGAAGTTGAACTTCTGCAATAGTAAAATGAAATTAATATATTATAAATTGAATTTATTTTTATTATTGTTGTTATTTAGAATAATTTAAAATAAATTACTTTGGTAAGGTCGGGCAGGACCACAGTTTAAAATCAGCTCCAAAACGTTCGCCTTCCTCGATTGTCTGTGGCAAATGAATATTGAGAGTTTCCGGTAAAAAAACAGACGTAAGTGCACCGGCGACACTCAGTGATCCCATTATTATAAGTGGTAAGACTCGGGAGTATACTGCTAAATGTACTATGTATGGAAATGTTAATAATCCTATTCCAGCGATAAATGATGCTATTCCCATGGCTTGAGAACGCAGCACTGTGGGGAGTAATTCACCGACAAACACGTAAAATACTGCAAATGACGCTGCGATACCGAATTTTCCGATCATCGCTAGTGAAACTGTCACCCATACTGCATCTATAATTATAATAATAATATTAATAATTTATTATTTTAAAATAAGGAAGAAATTTTTTTTATTAAATAATGATTTTTGTTGAATTGCATTGTACTTTCTTAAATATTGACGTTTTTAAAAATATAAGCTCATCCCGGTGTTACACTCATCACGAGGTTTCATTTGAGTACCCACATGCATTTTTGATATATTTTTCATATATACATATATATAATATATATAAATATATAAAAAATTGATATGGGTACTCAAATGAAAGGTCTTGATGAGTGTAACTTCAGGGTGAGCTTATATCTTTAAAAATGTCAGTAGTTAACAAGATAGCAAAGTCAGTTCTTCATTATTGACATTTTTTTAAATATAAGCTCATCACGATGTTACACTAGTCAAAAGCTTTCATTTGAGTACCCACATGCATTTTTGATATATTTTTCATATATACATATATATAATATATATAAATATATAAAAAATTGATATGGGTACTCAAATGAAAGGTCTTGATGAGTGTAACTTCAGGGTGAGCTTATATCTTTAAAAATGTCAATAGTTAACGAGATAGCAAGGTCAGTTCTTAATTATTGACATTTTTTTAAGATATAAGCTCATCACGATGTTACACTTATCGAGACCTTTCATTTGAGTACCCACATGGCATTTTTTTATATATTTTATATATATGGTATTTGTGAAATATATAAATATATAAAATATATGAAAAATTGATGTGGATACTCAAATGAAAGGGCTTGATGAGTGTAACTTCGGGATGAGCTTATATATTTAAAAATGTCAATAGTTCACAAGATACAAGGTCATTTCTTAATTATGTATCTAGAGATAGAGAATTTTCAAATTCAAATCAAGACCATTGCAATGACACTAAATTTTACTAAAAAAACCGATTTTATCATATAAATGTCCTGGACACAAAATTTTTCTTATTCTTTTAATAATATAGATAATAGTACTAATAATAATAATAATAATAATTTACCTTCTGGTACAAACATACAGGATACGCATGCAACTCCACCAAGAAGCATTGTAAGACACAGAACCCATCGTCTTCCGAGTCTATCCATAGCATACCAAGTAATAAAATAAGACGGTATTTCAACAATACCACCTGTTGAAAAAAAAAATGAACAATTCAGTCTAAATAATATCACCCATTCATATTTGATTGAGTTTTTTTTTTTTTTATAAATAAATAAATAAAAAAAAAACAATAAAAAATAATAGTCTTAAACCGGATGTAAGGGGAACAAAATATGTTTGCTAACTATTGCGTGACATGATTGAGTCACTTTGTGTATAAACACGTCGGGAATAAGTGTATAACTAAATACATTACAATCTAATCATAATAATTGCAGATATTTATGATCTTGATACATATATATATTTAGATTTAGATTTTTACTGCGCTAAGTTGATAAAAATCCAGTTACGTTATCTGAGTGGGCTTTATTGTTGCGGTCGAGATAGAGAGTTAAGTAATAAAGATATAAACTATATTCCTTAATAAGTATAACCTGATAAAGAGATAATTAATATAATCTAGAGCCGAGTCTATTAGTTGAGTCTGGTATAGGCGTTACTGCATAGATTATAATTATTCATAAGATCTCACCGATAAAGAATGCGAGGTAGTCAGAGACTCCGAGATTTGTCGTGTTGTACGAGAGGCCATTATAAACAACGGCATTAGCAACCCAATCGAATGCCAGTATAAAAAATTTTTTTCGTATATTCGGGTTTTTTATTATGTCCATCGGAGTTGCTGACGGGGGTGGTGGCCGGTCTTCAATGTTCTGCATTTCTAAAGTTAGTTCACTTGAATTCTTCCCATTGCACGCTAGTCCGCGTTTTTTTAAAGTTTCCATCTAAAGTACAGAAAATTCATTAAAAATGATTACATTTAAAGCGGATTACATTTAAAGCGCAATAGTTGCTCAATATTGCATTACAGTTTTATTAAAACTTAATATGTACATTGTTGCGCGTTAATTAATTACTCTGATTTTTATCTTGTATTTTATTGATTAAGTAATACTCAATGATTAATCATTTACAATTTACAAATAATTAATACTAGCAACCTTGCAGTCACTAGGACTGCCGTGACTTGTGAACTGAAATAAATAAAATTTTGATTTATTAAATAATGAATTTTGTTAAATTGCACTGTACTTCTTAAATATTGACCTTTTTAAAGATATAAGCTCATCCTGATGTTACATTCATCAAGAGCTTTCATTTGAGTACCCACATGCATTTTCATATATTTTTCGTATATACATATATATAATATATATAAATATATGAAAAATTGATGTGGGTACTCAAATAAAAGGTCTTGATGAGTATAACATCGGGATGAGCTTATATCTTTAAAAATGTAAATAGTTCTCAAAATACAAGGTCGTTTTTTAATTATGTTGAATTGCACTGTACTTTCTTAATTATTGACATTTTTAAAGATATAAGCTCATCCCGACA